AGATAAAAAAATAGTATACAATAAAATTAATAACGTCCGATCGAAAGTTGATTAAAATGCTATATAGAACCAGGAATATCGAGAAAAAGATTTTTTCGTGTCTGACAGTTAATAACGTCCGATCGAAAGTTGATCAAAATGCTATATAGAACCAGGAATATCGAGAAAAAGATTTTTTTCGTGTCTGACAGTTGGTGGCCGCTAACAATATGAATAATTTAATATAAAACTTTTCAATAAATTCAACAAAATATAGCAGATGCTAAAAAGAGAAAATAGACGCACTTAAGCAATCCACAATAGCAATACAAATAGATGAAGGAAGTTCAAAGGGTTCCGCGAAAAAAGGGGGCAGAGAGAAAGGAGTGTCCCATCGATCAAGCGTTCAAAAAAGGTTACGAGTTTATGTCGAGCGAGTCCCTTACCTAAACAAAGATATCCATTTACGAGTGGTCCAGGAACTTGTGCAAAGCAGAACTGTATCCCTGTCCTTTTAGAACGGTACTTTGCAAATGGAATTGAATCCAGAACTTTAAACGATGAAAGAATTTCAAAATTAGCCGCCATCTTGTTTCCAAAACTCCAAAACGCCCGCGATATTTTTTGAAATTGATCAGAAGTTGAATTATATCTGTCATGCGCACAGCGCCATGACTCCACAAAATTTTCAAAATGGCGGCCGTCAATGCTTTGACAAATATTCCTGACTTTAGCGGAGGTTTCTCCTTTGAAAACTGCAATAGGTAAAATWTTGYYCTGTYAGATTTGAACTTTATGARTGAGTCTATGGTTTGATTCTGTTATTTGGTGTTTTAGAAATGCTATGTTAGGAAAGATGGGAGTGAAAGCCCCGACAGCCAGAAAAACTGGGACCACGATTGCCGGTATCGTCTTCAAGGTAAACTAATTCTTGTACTAAAACGTTAGTGAATAACAAGAGCATGATTATAACGCTAAAATACTATTTTTAAGCATTTATTTATATTTATACATRTAAGTCAATTATTCCATATACGTTTATCAAATTGTTGGCTCAAAATTGTTTCCTCGTGGGAAATTAAAAGATTGTCATTCTTCGCATCCTTTTTCTTGTGGTAGGATGGTGTTATCCTTGGTGCAGATACAAGAGCAACAGAGGTAGGTTGTCAAAAAAACCTCTTGTAGTATCTACATCTACATCTATACTTGCCTCTCCTGTTAAAATCTTGCAATTTCCCCCTGCCTGTCCATATTTCTAAAATCTGAGGCCCAGTGGTTTAAATCCTATTTTGTCAACTCAATWATATATGCCCTAGTAAGCAATTACATGTACATTGTATTGTATTTATATCATCTAAAAGCCTGTCTTTCCTGTCCCTGTCTTCCTCGTAACATAATCTCATGACATTATTTTCCCATTCTCATTTTCTTTCCATTGTTTTATTTTTTTTATGGTTTACTAATATCAGTTTACTTTTCTTTTAGGATACCGTTGTTGCAGATAAAAATTGTGCTAAAATTCATTACATTGCTCCAAATATTTAGTAAGTAAATCAAATTCATACTCATTAAGTAATGTCCCGAGTAAGAACTAGGGAAGCAAACAGCACAGGAATGCAAGAAGGTGCTAATTGCGCATTGTATAATCCATCCATCCCATTGGTTAAAACATGAAAATCTGCTATAATTTCACAAGTTAGCGAATTTTCTAATATTTTATTTAATGTCTGTTTTCGCTTTCATGGAAGCTTTCTTTAGCTTTAATATTAAAGGCAATTCTATGTGGGGAACATTGCAAATTAGAAGCATCTTTTGGCTATTGTTTTAAGTGCTTATGATTGGATAAGATCTTTTAATACAAAAGAAACTTTGTTTCAAAATAGAGTTTATCCACATTTTATTTCAAAAATGTGTTACCCACAGATGGATACATAATCAGTTTGAAAACCAAGACATTCATACATGGGGAACTTGCTATGCCACAGAACAATAGAGAGTTCCCTAGTTCTTTAGCGCATTGTTACTTAATTGAAACTTCATCTCAATCCAACTAAAAATTAATTTTTCTTATAGTTGCTGTGGTGCTGGGACTGCAGCAGACACAGAGAATGTCACAGATTTGATTTCTTCTCAAATTCAACTTCACTCGCTATCTACTGGTCGGCAGGCAAGAGTTGTGACTGCTTTACGTATGCTCAAACAGAGATTATTTAGGTAATTCAACTCCACAACAAATCCTGTTTCTGACCATGGACAAAAAGGTTTTTTTTTCTTTTYCTGTTCWCTAAMGTTTCTYTAATGTKTKATRTAGGTATCAGGGATATATCAGTGCAGCATTAGTCCTAGGGGGTGTGGATTTCAATGGTCCTAAACTCCATACWGTGTACCCCCATGGTAGTACAGACTCTCTGCCCTATGTGACCATGGGCTCTGGTTCCTTAGCTGCYATGTCTGTCTTTGAATCTAGATACAGACCAGATATGGAGGTAAAGTATRYRRCAGATAAAATAGAGTGAACWCACTGAATCATTGAAACAAAAATTGTGCAAAATAAGTGATAAAATATTCCAATTTCAGTGCTATTTAGTAAGTAATATTCCTGGATTTAGTGTGTCTATTCTTCAAGCAGCTCAACTGTAAATTTTCTTTACAAAACTCATAAATAATTCATGATCTATCAGTTCAATAGGGGTTGTCTATGAATCAGGTTATTTAACTTGTACATTGCTGATGTTTAATTCATCACTGTTTCATCCAATAATAATACAAGATGGTATATTTTATGCAGAGAAATACAACAACTCAACATTGTGTATACATTTATATAATGTAATTTATGTAAAGCTAAATTATTTATATAACGTATGCATTTCTTTCTGAAACATAATTATTCAAAATGTGTTTTATTTCTAGCAAAATGCACAATGCTCATTAGAGACCGAAAGAGTTCATACGTGCATTTACTACTCATGTTTTGCCATGTATCTTACCTTAAATCATCCTTAATATTATTTTACAAGTTGTATATAACATTTTTATTTTTTTTTGTATTGAGTGACATTATAATTTTTTGCTTGAGATGAAAGCAAATTAATTAATAATCTGATAGAACAACTTTCTTTAATTTTTTTAAACAATACAAAGCGATACTCAGTTGTGAGAGGTTGTTTCAGTAATCAAAGATAAAGTCTGTATGTCTACATGTATGTAATATCTTCTTTACGTTTCATAATCTATCAATGCTCCTGTATGTCTTTCATTTCCAAGACAGCAGTATCAGAAACTCCCTCTCTATTGCCAGTGTTGYTTTGCTTAGAAAAGTAATCAGCACTGCTGTTGACTGTAGTACCATGACAACATTTTGTGATTAAAGCTTTTAAGTTCTGGCGGTAAACACCATTGAAGATCAGATATATGAAGAAGTTGTACACAAGGCTCATGTACAACATGAAATAAGAAAAATTTTCCAAGTTGAAGTTTGCTTCATGAGAAAGATGGTGAAAGTTCCCATTATCACGCAAAATCACAATTATGCATCTAGTACCCCAGCTAAGATAAAATAAAGCCACAATGGATATGGATATCTTTAAAACCTTTCTGTTCTGAAGCTCTTTGCGTCTTATAGTTGCATTGTTTTGAGACCCAGGGCCTTTTTGCTTGTGAAGCTTATAAACAATTAGAGCATAGAGGACAGTTACMGCAACCAATGTCACACCAACATTTATAGCATTGATACTATAGTAGTAAAGGATGAAAGACAAGGAAAGGTTTGATGGWACAGTACAAATGTTTCTATTATCTTTGTCTACAATGTCAAAAAAGTACAAAATCGGTGCCTTGAAAACACTTGACAAGATCCAAATCAGTGCAACRATGACTTTAATCTTGAATTGAGATGATTTCTTTAGAGGATGAGCTATGGCATAGTAGCGGTMAATTGCAATGAAAAGACAGCTGGATACTGACACTGCTAGCGAGACTTCTATGATAAAAATGCTTACTTTACACAATGCACGACCTCCAATCAGCCATTCTTTGTTGAAGTTGATCCAAACTAAACGTAGAGGAAAAAGGGAAAAYGCAGCCAGAACATCACTCACAGCCATGTTTGCTACTAAGTAATTAGTGTTAGTTTTCAATCGACTGTCCTTACAYACTATCCACACAATAAGTGAGTTTTCAACGACAGCAAAGATGAATTGCATAGAAAATACAATAGTGAATATCAATATGTTCGYATTAAGTTGAAGGCTCAAAGAACTTGAATTAGAGCTTGAATTTCCTTTCTCCATAATCCTATCTTGTGTTCCTTCTGTAACTGAAAGGTGTTTTTTTGATGCATGACTTCAAATATTATTTAGGACAGTTAATTTTTAGAACATGTCTATAAACAAGTCCTTATATGGCATCATGGCCTTATTTGGAAGTAAGATTTTCTAAATGTTTAGTCCAAATTTCACATATACTGCCCATCCCCTGTCTGCCTATCTAAGTTTTTTATTACACAGAGTGTAAAAATTACGATGTGAAGTCAAAAAACCTCGTGAAAGAGATGTTACACGAATGACATCTTTGATGGCTTTGTTTCCTTTTGTGTCAGTTTGACTATCACACTTTTGTTTCACTGGCTTTAATAACTTCACTCTACCTGTAAAGTAAATAGCTCACAAAATTGTTATTCTAATTCCTTTGTTTTCTATTGTCAAATTAATGCTATTTTTTTAGTAGTAATTGAAACCAAATATTTAACTTTCATACTGTTGGGTCTTTAAACTTTTTTTTTTTACTTTCACTTGTATTACAATAGTAACAGCTTGTTATTATTGTGTTGTTGAAACTGAAAAACCTAAAAAAATTAGCAAAAGACCACAGTAGATTTTATAATTTTAATTTCAGTTTTTWGTCATACAGGATGTTTATTATTCTTATAACTTTATATGTACCAATTCCCAATAAAACCGAGTGTTAACTAAGRTAAAACTTGAGCTTTAACTTGTGGACTTTGGCTTCAGAAAACTACCTCAAAAAACTGTTGACTTCGTCAAGTAAATTTGATCTTTCTAAAACAGGATAAAATAATTCACGAGAATTAAGCTCGTGCTAAGAAAACTAAACTGAAAACAAAACTGGGGGTGAATGCGCGCTATGAAAACTAAGCGAATTATTGACCTTATCACATAAGCTTGCGTAAAATTATTTTTCAGCTTGAAGAAGCCAAGCTGCTTGTTCGAGATGGCATTGCAGCTGGTATATTTAATGACTTGGTAAGTTGAGGAAATGTCAAACTATTGTACAAGCTGTTACTGTAACTGGGTTTCTAAGTCCGATCGAAGAGGTACTTAAAAGTTTCTTCAAGACAAGATGAAACTATGAGTTTCACATCGTCCTCTGAAAAAAATAGTGGTGTGATAGTAGAGTTCAAAACTCTTCCTTTTCTCTTCAATAACTAATACCAACTACATTGTAGATAAGCATTTTGAAACAAAACTCTGACCTCCGACCTGTTATTGATGTATTTTACAATCCCCTGACAAAGTTTCAGGCAAAGTTGAGTGTTTGGTGAGGAGAAAGGTACTTAAAATCAAGGAAATCAGCTGAAACTTCCTCAGGGGATTGTAAAATACATCAATAACAAGAGGTCAGAGTTTTGTTTCAATTTATTACAATCCAAGTGAGAAATTCACGATTCAAAAACACCTCATAAATTCTTCAAAATAACGGTAAAATATAGAGGGGAGTGCTTCCCCTGGTTCAGTACATGCGTTGTAGCCTCATATGAGGGTGTCTCATTTCCTTTCTAAAATAACGGGCTTCCTGTGTCAAAACTAGTCCAGTTTCTAGCCCCTTCCCTTTTGCTCCTCTGTTTGTTTTGGGACATAATAAGATGCCATTTTGTTTGTATTCAAGGGTTCTGGTAGCAATGTTGACTTGTGTGTCATAACCAAAGATGGAGTGAACTACATCAGACCATACGATGTTGCTAATGTCAAGGGAGAAAGACAGGGCAAATATACTTACAAGAGGGGAACTACAGGTGAATATGAATAGTGTCCCATATGAATAGTGTCCCATATTAATAGTAGAGTTCGTTTTCATCCGT